GTAGCTGGATCTCCCTCCACCAGGCTCCCACGACGGCTGCCTTCCTCCTCCTCCACCTCCTCCTCCTCTGCCTCCGCCTCCTTGGTCCTCATCTTCCATCTGGGCAAACATTTCCTGGGAACCTTGGTCCCTTTCTTTGCACTGTAGCAGGAATGCAATACACAGCAGTCTCTGGAGCCGGAGTCAGATACATCCACACCTTTTAGCGGAATGCTTTCTTAGAATATGGTAAACCAGGTTATCGTCTAAAAATGACAGGTCGTCATCGAAGGCAATGGGTCTGCAACATGCCCGCCCTACTTTGTCACTCACCAGCCTTCTATTTCTAGATAAGTTTTTTAATATTTTGTCATACATTGTCTCAGCTGCATCGCAAGAACCGCTGCAGTATCTAAAGATCAGTTCCTCCTTGGTTTCGTAGCCCAAACCCAAGTCAGTGACATTTAAATGTACGGCAGTTAAGACACAACCCCGGTTCTTGCCCCGCTGGCCTCTCCGACCTTTTCCTCTGGAATTCTCTGGGTGGGCAGCTGCGGCCTGCCGATTCCGCTCTCTTCTAGGAAGCACTGCCATTTGTTTATCTGGTGACCTTTTCAGTCTTTTAATGGTGGCTTGAATAAAATCCATGACATCATCAAACTGATCAGGATAGTCCTCTGGCATATTTGCTGTTCAACAAGAAAACAGAAAATGTTACATGAGACAACAATGACCATTTCAAGCAGTCTTCTGGATCAAAGTGCCCCCTAAAGTCAGCCAGAATTGGACCCATCAGCTGGTTAAGCGACCACCGCAATCCCTCAAGTACAGAGGCTAAGATGCACCCTCCAACACTTCACAGGAAGAAAGATTATTTAGTTGAAAGAGGAGACTAATGTGGCCGGTGACACACTTCCTTGTAGTAAACAAACCCTTAGAAGTCTATTTTTCATTTGAATAACATCGTCATTTTTAGCAGGTTGATAGAGAGGTTGCTGTGAGAGGCTGGTTCTCTAAGGCTGTTTTTCTCTCCTAGTCACATAACCTAGAGTAGTGGTTCTCAAATGTGACCATGCAGGAAAAGATCCCGGATGCTCACTGAAATGCAGATTCCTGGCCCTAGCCTGGGAGACCCTGAGTCGCTTGGTCTGGGGAGGGGCCAAGGAATCTGCATTTTTAGCAAGACCCTGATGCCAAGAAATTCTGATGTCAGTGATCCATGGACCAAACTTTGAGGAGCACTGTCTTAGAGATTGAAAAAAGGTGAAGTCTTCCCACATTGTGACTTTCATCTGGAGTATCCGGTGCTCTTCCCTGAAATGTACCCTGACTATGATGGCTGAGCAGGATAAGAACCATTCGGATAGAACAAGGGAAGAGCTCAGGAACTCAACTGCATGTAAAACCTTCCTGACAAATCATTAGGGAATGAAAAAGCAGCTTATATTTCCCTTAAAAAAGAGACTACTTTACCACTTCCTTTAAACAGCATGGCTTTAACAAAAAAGTATGGTGATGCTGTACCGTGGCATTTACATGTGTCAGAGCAATTAATGAAATGAGTTGCTGCTTGTGGATAGATACAGCCTTGACCCCCGGGGTGGGGCCCAGCCTCTGCAGCAGGCTGTCCCACGGCTCCCACTGTCTGGCTGTGAGGACAA